GGCGGGCCGGGGAGTTCAACCTGGGGCTGGAGCTCAGTCCAGCGCGGCTGCAGTTCTCGAAGCTGTTCCCAGAGGTCTGGCTCAGGTCGTCTCCTCGGGATCCTAATCGGGATGGGGACAAAGGCGGAAATTGGGAGGAAACAGTTGCTTCTCTTTACATTGGCGAACCTCTGTAAGTTCTGGGAGTTTCGGGGAGGAATCGGGTCGGGCCCGAGGTTGGAGCAGGGCGCTCTCCACGCCTCGCCCACGCGAGGGTGGAGTTGGGAAACCTGGCAGCCGCTCCCGGAGTCTCTGCGCCCTGCCTCGTCCCTCCTGCGCCTCCCCCGCCCGGGGAGTGCGGCTGGCTCCCTGGGAGCTCTGACCCTCCCCCTCACTCCGGGCCTGGAGCTGCTCTTTAACCCCAGTCCCCTGGCTTAACTGGGAGGGCTGGTTCCTCTCCGCCCCGTCCTCAGCCTCAGGTGCAGGCCTGCGGGCGCAGGACCCACATACTTCTACCTAGCCATCTTTCTCCCCGCTCCTGGAAAGGACCGTCCTACCCCTCCGCTGACCACAAACAGCCCAGAGAAGCCTTGAGCTCACCCCCAGGCTCCCTGGGCTCCTTCAGGGCCTTCGGAGGAAACGAGCAATGGAGGTGGGAGGGATGCAGGTCTTCTCCTCTGGCTTTTGTAGGATTCTCTAGCTCCTGTGAATCTCTGGAGAAAGTGTCTGAGTGCAGGGCCTGAAGAGGAAATGAAGTTGAAAGGTGAAATTTCCTAGGGCTCAGCATTCAAAATTCCTTTCTACAGGAACTACCAAGGAATCCTTAGTAAATGTTGATTGAGTGACTCTGCCCTGGGGGAGGATGTGGCTGTTGGTTGGCTGTATTTTCCTCCGAGCCAGGACTGTGCCCTCCCTGCTTGCTGGGTGTGAGAGTTTTTGTTTCCTCTGTAAACTCCCTTTCCTGTGGAACAATGCGGGATCCTTGCTGGGGCTTGCCGGTGACTCCAGATGTGTTTGTGTGGGGCTGATTGTGTAGTTGGTTGACTGGAGCTTTAGTCAACTTGTGGGAGCACCTGTATGTTTATCTGTCTGATTTTTAAAAATTCCATGGTCTGGCGACCGAACCAGGGCCTTTCGTATTCTGTGTGTGATTCTCGAGTGTCAGTGTACACAGACTTGTATGTAGTTACCTCAGTCTATATGATTCTCCATTTCCTGTAAGGTTCATGTCTTAGGAAGTGTTAAGAGACATGAACAATTACAATCAGTATTGCTGTCTTCTAGAGAAGACAGGTTTATTTTATTTAATTTTTTTTTTCCTTTTGTTTCTTTGAGACAGAGTCTTGCTATGTAGTCCAGGCTGGCCTTGAACTCACTATGTAGCCCAGGCTGGCCTCTCTGCAGTCCTGCTGCCTCAGCCTCCTGAGTGCTGGGATTATAGGTGTGTGCCACCATGTCCAAAGAAAAGACAGTTTTTGAAGAGCAGAAATATGTAGATTTTTCTGCCCTGGTTGGATAGGTCACTCATTTGTCCTTTATCACAAAAAGCTGTCTGTGGGGACAGGGCCAGTAAAATTATTCTGTACACAGCACAGATGAGGAAATGGGTCTGAGAGGGAAATGGCTTTCCAGGCTGACAGCAGAGGGGCCTGGGAGTGGAATGAAGGACTCCTGATAAGATTTGCTTTTCCTGTCCTGGGCCCTGCATCTCAGGACCCCATGATGGAGGAGCTATTTGAGATACTGTTTCAGAATCTCCTGGCTTGCTTAAAAAAATTGCTTCCCCACCAGGCTCTCCCTTCTCTTTCTTCTCCCTCTTACTCTACTCATCCACTTTTTTCTTTCATTTCCCACTCCTCACCTGTTTTACTTCTGCTGGCACCTTAGAAATGCTAGTGATGCCCATAGTCACTTTTGGTTTTGATTCCGTCCCGTCTTTTGGGTACTCGGTTCCGCAGACCTTCACCCATGTCCTGTGCGAGTATTTCCTCTTCCAAACCCAAAAGTTTCTGTGAGGTCAGGGACTAACAGGTTTGGTCAGTGACTGACAGTAGATGTCAAGCTTATAAACTTCCTGCAGCTGCTTCCTTCCGCCCGCTTCTTCCTTCTCCTCCAATGTCCGACATAATTTTCTCACAACCACATTCTTACACTGAAAGGTTTGATAGCACTCTTTTTTTAATATTAAGTTCATTGGTACATTTTAGGTGTACGGTACAGTTACCTTCACCATTGGGATCTTGCACCTTTAGGTGATGTATCTTGGTTCTTATTTTCCCCCCATTCCCCAGCCCCCGCTTCAACTCCCTCCCTTTCCTGTTTACGAAGACATTGTTTCCATGTTTTTCCTTTTCTCATATTTTTTTCTTTACCCTTCTTTCCTTTCCTCTACCCCCCATTTCCCCTACTCCTTTAGACCTTTTCTTCCTGTTACACATTATCAGTGACACATTTTCATCCTTATTTATACTCTTATTGCGACCAAGCAACAGTTTCAGAGGGAGCCAGAGGTGACGTTGGATTAGCTGGTTAGGGTGTGGGGCCTGGGAAGTGACCTGTCCAGAGTGTAGAGGAGTGGACTTTGAGAATTTTAAATCAAGGCAGACCGAGGGGAGGGCACTGATTTGGTTAATGCACATGAGGATGGCAGTGGGGGCAGCACTCCACGTGGATTCTAGCTGGACCGACTGCCTCGTTTGTGACCTTAGGCTACTAACTCATTCTTCTCATTGCAAAACAAGAGTAATAATCTCTGCCCTCCCTTCCTGTGGGGCTAAAGCTACCTTATGTCCCACATGAAGAGACTGCTATTGCACAGCTATTATCCTTTTAGAGTTGGTGAGGATGCAAGAATGCTCTTTCTCGTAGAGTAGGTCAGAGGAAGCAGGGAGATTCCAAATGGGAAAAGTACAAAACTAGCGTCTCTTTCTGGGTGTCTAGCCAGTCCTCTGCCCCAGGAGTGTGTTGCATAGACTGGTTGTCTGTGTTTGCCCCTCTGTCCGGGGCTGCTCCTCGGACTCTGCTGTCAGGGAGGAAGGGGAAAGGGCAAGAGGGCCAACATCAAGCAAAGGCCCAACATTAGCCCGGGGAGCTCAGTGTGGAGCAAGGCCCGACCCTGCTGAGGCAGAGACCTTGGGACCCTGAGCTTGGGAAGAGTAAAAGTGGTGACCGATACAGCTGGTCTTTCTGTCCCTAGAGGACCTGTACTTAGAAACAGTTCAGCTGTTTCCCAGGCAGGAGAGGAATTCTGCTCAGTACTAATGCCAGTGGCCCATGGTTAGGTCAAGTTCTGGTGTGAACTTGTGGAGGAAGAAACCCAGGTCGGAAGAGTGACTTCTCTGCTGCTTCCCGCGGTGTGAGGGCTCCATAGAGGGCAACCCAGGTGTGGGGGGGATGCTGCCCTGTGTCTGGGTCAGTCTTCATCCTGGTATTTCCTGCTCCTGGCCGAGATCTTACAAACAATGACTGGCTATGTAGGGACAGACTCAGCTCAAAAGTGTACATGGCTGAGTCATTTGTACTTTTCCCTCTCTACTCTGGGAAAGAATTGTTCCCTTGAAACTAGAAACTGGTGAGTGGCGACATCTGGAAATAGGACAGGAATGGCAGTGGGAATCCTGTGTGTTAGTCTTCCCTGGCTCTGGATCCCTTTACCTTGTGAAGTTTCACTTAAACTGCTTTGTGATTAGGGCTTGTCTGGGGTCTCCCACCTCGTTCTGTTTTGGGATGGAGCTGCCGTGCTTTTATTTTGGCATTTTGATACGGGGTCTCCCTGTGTAGATCAGGCTGGTCCTGAGCTCACCGAGTATCCCAGGCTGACCTCAGACTTGCAATGATCCTCCTGCCTCAGCCTCTGAGGGCTGGGATTACAGGCATGTACCATCATACCTGGCTGTTTTTCTCCCTTTTCTTGCACAAAAAAAGATGGATATACTTGTTTGCATTGCTTATTTTGTGTAATGCATCCTAGAGGTCTTTCACACTGGTATTAGAGGCTTTGTGACCTTGGTTGTTGGCTCCAAGCATAGTCAACAAGGCATTGGTGTGGTGGACATAGAAATAGCTGAAACTAGCCCCAGCCCAAAAGTAGACTGAAATGTAGCACACATTTTATGTGCTAGACTCAGAATACTGGGTTTTGTTTCCACATCAGGGAGACATTGGGGATTTTTAAACTTAAACCAGCCTTTCCAGAGGCTCAGGAAAGTCCTGGGTGACCACTGCACATGTAATGGGGAAGAGATGCCCATGTTGGGCAGACGTTGTGGGAAGTGATGAGTGGAGGCCTGTTGGGGTTTTCCAGCGTTGAAAACTGGGAGTTCATCCGCCTGGGACTCCCTGATAAGCAGGGTTTCTGTCTAAAGTCCAGCTGGTGTCATTTGTGTCACAGTTGGGGGAGGGGACAGGAGGAAGCAGCTGGCTGCCAGGAAGCTTGAGGCCGGGTCCCTGGAGGCCTACGCCAGCTGTGGGGAGAAGGTGGAGGTGTTGGGTGGGCTGAACAGGTAGAGGGGCCTGGAGGGAGCCGTGGAGTGGAAAGCTCTCCTGTCCTCCTTGGTGATTGCTGCCACCCCCACCCAGGGCTGAGCCAGCTTGGTGATGCCACTGAACGGGCAGCCAAAGGTGGCCGTTGGGACACGGCCCCACCTGTTCTTGGGCCCCGGGCACCTTCCTCTTGCTCCCTCATTTTGTGTCTGTTCTGCTTTAATCTCTAGAAGGAGGCTGCCCGCCCTGGATCCTCCCTGCCTAGTGTTGCCCTGTCCTCTCATGGGAAGGCCAGACCTGCCAGGACTTGGTTCAGGTTCTGCTGGGGAGGGAAAGGTGAACTGGGTGGAGATGGAAGCTGGAGGTCCAGATTC